TTTCTGTCTTTTAGCTATGTTTGTAAACCGAATGGACGAAATTGTTGTTGCTAAGTATTTGAACCGCAACCGTGTGCTCAAATTCAGATTTGAATTTGCCCACCTAGCGACTACTGGGGCGAGGACGACTATACCCGTTGATGTTTTCAGCGCACGAATAAGTGTTTCGTTTTTGAAGTTTGTGATCAACAGTGATTGATGTGATTGGCTGCGAACAGTGTGAGATACGTCATTCATCTAACAGCGAAAACAAGATTTTACTGTAACAATAATTACAGAAAATTGCCAAAATGGAATTGACAATAAATTCTTGGTAACATTCATTTACAAATCAACATAACGCATAAACAGTAAATACACAATTTCTATGCTTTTACCTTAAGATTCCTGACTCGCCTTAGCTCGAAAGAAAGTCATAGTAGTCATACTCAGAATCCACCTATCATAAAACACACAATGAGGAGAGCTAGAAAAGGCTGAGATGATGCATGTGAACTGGATATCGTGAATTGTAATGTGTGTTACGTTGAGAAATCAAGTCAGGAGGCTAAATGCTAGACTCCTTAGAATCGGCGGCCACGGCGTCCACCAAATCCTCCCCTTCGTCCACCGAATCCTCCTCTGCGCATACCGAAACCTCCTCTGCGTCCCATTCCTCCGAAACCACCTCCACGTCTTGCAAACATTCCATAGCCAGATCGTCCAGATCGACCACCCATTCCACCAAATCCTCCACTACGTCCCATCATTCCTCCTCTACGTCCCATCATTCCGCCATAGCCACCGCCACCACGGCCGAATCCTCCATAGCCGCTGCCGCCGCGGCCAAAACCACCATAACTACTGCGGCCAAGTCTGCCATAGCCACTGCCTCCAAGGCCACCGTAGCTTCTTCCAAATCGGCTTCCTCCACCGTATCCGCCAAGACCGCTGAATCCTCCACCGTATCCTCTACCGTATCCGCTTGATAGACCACTGCCATATCCACCAAAAGAACTTGAGCCGAATCCAAATTGTGCTGCAGCATCAGCAACTAACAGAAATAGTAGAATACCAGCCAAGCCTTTCATTGTGAGAGATTTTTAGAAACTGACTGAAGTACGATCAAGGACAGAAGTGACGCAACTTATAAGGAGAATATCGTTTTCACAAAAAGTCCGCTGCGTCAGCAAAAATGTGACATCAAACCATGTTACTGCACGAAACGCATTTGCAGAAAAACTGATAAGGCAGGTTTTCCACAATATAGATGCTCTTGATGTTTGTTGATTAGACAGTAAGTACATGTGCGTCACCTATTTCCCGCAAAAGGTTTCGCCAAAAAAATTGATGCCTTTCTCCGTTTCATTGTTACTGAGAACAGTGATATCTGTATCCTGATGTCACCATGAGGCAACCCTTGTAGCTGCTTCATAGCAATAATTATGTCAATATAATCCCAACTCGTATTGGAATTTTCGAATTTCTCGCCATGGATGAGATCCATTTAGCTTTGAAAATTGATCAGAATGAAAATCCCATGGTTAAAAGTTTATGGTAGCATGCCATTTTATACGATTTTTAAGGGAGTGCAAAAATAGCGCTATGTGGCAATATCGTAAAGGGCTAAATGCAGTAGCTCTAACAGGAATCCTTCCCGTAGGTTGCTTTGACTAGTGGGGGCTCAGAGCAATGCAACGATTACTTGCTGACAAAAATACATTGATCACGCAAGTTTAATTGGCAACTGAAATTATGACCATGTCCATACTTCCATAAAACGACTTCCACTTCTCTTCTGATTTTGGTGAACCAACGTCTGACAATACTAGCGACGTTTATGCGCTTTATGTGCTCAACCCAGTTGGCGAGCGGCTTGTTTTGCTTGCGATCCGATAAACTACTCCGACCGGCAGTTTGAAATTATCAATTTGTTTTCTG